TACCTTAGATAAGGCCGATATCCTCCTCCATAATTGAAGAATGGCGAGAATTGGAGTTGCTTTTTCCGGTGGTGGTATTCGGTCAGCGTCATTATGCTCGGGTGTCCTGCGCAGACTGCTGCAGAAGAAGGTTAACATAGATTACCTAAGCTGTGTCTCAGGGGGTGGTTACACAGGCACTGCATACCTTGACTGGAAATACCGACATGGAAAGAAGGACGACCCCGAGTGGCACAAACAGTTCTTCGAGAACATGCGCAAGAGAAGTGGCATCTTTTGCAACTGGAAGAAACCCTGCCAAGGAATCTTGGATTCCATTATCTTGTCCACCATGGTGATATTTGTGGCTTTCATTATTCCAATTCTTCTTTGGACCTCCTACGCATGCCCACTAGCCTTTGTAGTTGATTTCCTGTTTGGACGTATTCTGAGAGGAGGAAGCAAGCCATGCAAAAAACTCGCCAAGCGCGATCCTAAAATATCATTGAAGGAATGCGAACTTGAACGCCATGCATCTCCAGAGGTGGTAAATCAGCAATTTATCCTTTTTGCAGTTCCTGTGGCGGTTGCCATTGTTTGTGGAGTAGTAAGAAGTATGATCCCAAAAGGAAAAGGATTCTTCAATTTCCTCATCATGTCATGTGTCGTGTTCTTCGGCCTGGTGTTCATTCCGTGGTTCATCGACAATTTTCTGGCTTATATTCCAAATTGGATGAAGATCCTCATCATTTTGCCGACTTTTATTGTGTGGTCTTCGTTCCCGCTCATGCGCAAAAATGCCACGCTGATGTTGGTAATTTATTTCTACTCCTTCGTAATTTACTGGAGGGTATTCAATGGAAGAGTGTTGGAGATAGAGTACGATGATGAAATATTTTTTATGCTGCTGGCGATTTCAACCCTCTTTCTATGGAGTGCGCCGATTATTGGTACAGTACAGCAACGTATAGGTCACGTGTACAACAGGTAAGGTTAATTTTGCATATGAACCAGACATGAATTTCCTGGTTTTATCAGCACTAACCCTTTGAATCATAAGAGTGACTAGCATCTAATTTCTCCGCACAATATCAACCCAACAAGATAAAGGAAATGATCACCAACTTAAAAAGCTCTTGATAGTTAAACAAATTCTCCTTTCAGCACCTGAAGAATTATTTAGAGAACACTATGGAGAATATGCATATTAATGTTAGGGTATAAAGGTCAAGCGACTAGGAGTAGTGCTACTTTTCCCGGTTCACAAATGAAGTTAGAGTGGCTTGGCTCAGTGTAGAGTCTCTGTGGCTCAGTGGTAGAGCATCTGAGCCGGAATTTGAAGGTCTGAGGTTCGATTCGTTCTTTTGGTTTTGTTTTTTATTTTTCCTACGCTCATGACAAGACTTCTTCCATTGAGGAGGACTAACAAGGTTTATAGAGGCTTATGGCTATTCAAGCCGGGAGAAAGCCTATCTAACACTAACAAGCCTATGGGCTAACCTTCAGTTCTAAGTTTCAGTTCGAAACTTCAGCATCCCCCCACCAGGCAACTCACGGCGTTTGACTCTCCTCCGTGTTCTTTCTACATAAAAATTGACCATTAAATCCGGAACTTGGACGGGGCATTTGAACAAAATTTTGGCCCCGGGGGACGGGAATTTAAGCGAACCAATCTCTAAAAGTTCAAATGCCCGAGGCGTTGCCCGGGGGATAATAAAGCTTCGGATTTATTAACGTATAACTGACTTGCAGATGGCGCATTCAAAGAGCACTCTACACACCAGCAAGCGTCGGTTGCTGTGGTTGTACTGGGATCTCATGGCGCGACCTTTTTCTTCGCTGTCCGAAGTGTCCACGCTCCAGGCCACGAGAAATAAATATTTCCACAGCTTTGACACTAGAGGACCTTGATGATGTGAAGCCAATTTACATAAGCGGTATCACCATAAACAAATGGAGACGGACTAACTCCCCCAAGGAGCCAGATTATGAACTATTGATGATGACACCTCATGGGATTGAACGACTTGATCGGCCACCCAATGAACGTGAGTTTGATGGTAAACTTATGCCTGTGGACATTTACCTGTCAGATGCCATGGCAACGTCAGCTGCTGCCGTGGATCATCATATGGGAGCGAGGGAGAGTGATGACGCGTCCTTTAGAGATTTAAAGGTTATTCTTGGAGTTTCCATGGGAACGGCCATTGTTTCAGACGAGCGACACGAAGGAAAAAGAAATTGTTGTATTCAGGTGAGGACACCCTCTCTCTCTCGTTAAATCGTTAGCTATGATCGTCGGGTCGCAAGTTTAATGATATACGGATTGAAATTTTGCCTTAAACCTTTAACTCCCAAGATACCATTAGTAATTCTCATTATTGTCTGACATGCAATTTGTATGATGTCAATTTGGAGAATTTGGTATTAGATCAACTAATAATCCCCTAGCTAATATTTTACTTTTTTCTCATCACTTCTATGCTTGATATTGTATTGTTGTTGTAAGGAGAAACTCTCTCTTGATCACTCATGGGCGGTAAAGGGTTAAAGAAACGAGTTAATTTAAGTCCTGTAATTGAGCCATTGATTCTGACCCAGTCTGAGCTTATTCAGGTTTCTCTGTAGCATGAGGCGATTAGGATTATACCACTCCCCCCTGGATGAAATGCTAGTCCATCGCAAGGTTACCCCCCAGCATTTCATTGAACCCATTTATACTTGGGCAGAGAGAGGCACTGTGTGAATGAAGTCTTTCTGTCTAAGAGCACAACACATTGACCTGGCCCGGTCTTGAACCCAGACCTCTCGACCTGGAGTCCAGTGCAATGATCAGTAGACCACTGCGTGTCCCGCTTAAAGGAACAAGGATTCACACAATTTATTTTGTATTCATTCAGATTCATTTTACTCTTTAAATTCTTACCACCAGAAACAACAATATCTAACTGTTTTTAGTTTGGCTTGTTTTCAGTTCTTGCCTCTCCTTGTTGAGGTAATCCGGATCCTTCCTTTGGTGCTGTGTCTCATTATATTTTGGCACACTGACCAGCGACGTTACTTAGCCTATGGCATACTGAGTTTCTTTGCTATACTTGTGTTGCTCACATTGACTGCGCTCGTACCAACCGGCGGAAGTAAGCCTGGAAGGCTTGAGAGAATCGCCAGGTAAGTTTGCTGTTCACTGAAGTCATCCATTCGGAATGGAAAAGTGATACGCTGCAGCCATAGACTTCGACCTGGGGCCACGGTGATTGTGACGCTAGTTCTATTAAAAAAAGAAAAAAAATTATGAAAAAAAAAAAACCGAGAATGAAACAGTTACCATGGTGTGGTCATTTGCCTCAAATATTGCTTGATTGCTCAAATCTGGACAGGGATTTATACTTAACCGTAGGATTTGGAACGCAATAAGCAGAAGTGAAAAACACGATTTGTTACCGCAGTGCGCTCTCTCCTTTTGCATTTAAACTGTTTTATGCACAAAATTATTAAATTTTCTACATCGTGACATGCGTTTATTTGCGAACCGTTCCACTCTAGAGTGCGCTTTGCGGCTTGACCAAAATGAAAGAAGTTACAGGAAAAGATGGCTGGAAAGTTTAGGCCGAGTCTGACGTGCCTCTCCCAAGTATAAATATAGTGCTACTGCGAGTTGAACAAGGAGGCCACATGTTAAACTTAACAAGTTTAATATGCGGCTTTTTTTTACCCAAGAGAGAATCTGATTACCAACAACTGAAATAAGTATCTTGGCTGACTTTTGTCTTGGCCGCTCAACAGATAGTGTACTTTTGGGATGTGGCCGTAATGTCAAAATACAACTAGGATCAATGGCACGTTCCAGCCACAGAATCCACAGTGAAATAAAAATACCAGCAACTCTAAGACGCCGTCGCTAAAAAACGTTGATTATTTTTTGTTTCTTCACTGCAATTTCAAAGTTGAACAACAAGGGTGTCGGTTTTTGTAAGCATATCCAGTATAAGGGAGAACTTATACAGCTCAGTGCATGTTCAAACCCATTCATTTTAGTGTTTCCTGTGATAATAAGGGGCAAAAA